ACATTTTGGAGGTGGCAAGACGAAGCTAAAGATCGTATCTCTGAGCTTACACAAACTAACGTTCGCGCACAGAGGATGAATGCATGTGTGAGGAAGATGTATGTACAGGGTGGCCAACATATATCCAATTCATCATGGAGCGCTACAGCATCCCACAACGCGACCGTATTGTTAAAACGATTGTGTTACAACGATTCGGAAGCTTCGACAAGATTTTGGTCGAAATAATGTGTCCAGTGTCAACACCATTCGTCAGTTGGTGCAGAAATTTGAACAAACTGGTGAAGTTAAAGACTTGCCAAGGTGGGGCCATGTGCGAACTGTTCGTACTCCGGAAAATATCAAGAGAGTTCGTGAAAGTGTACTGGAGCTCCTTGAAACGTCTACCAGACATCGTTCTCAAGAACTGGGTATTCGTCGCACGTCATTATGCACTATTTTAAGAAAAGACTTGCATTTGCGACTACACAAAATTCAGTTAACCCAAGAACTACAGCCTAGTGACCTTGAAAGTCACCGACAATACAGCCATGCAATATTGCAGCTTAATACCCAAAATAACGATGTTTACTAACAACTGATAATGGGGGATGAAGCCCACTTCGATATGAACGGATTTGGTAATAAGCAGAATTGTCGGATCTGGGCATTAGAGAACCCTCGTGTCATCCATCAACGACTACTACATCCTCGTCGAGTCACAGTTTGGAGCGGTGCTTGGTATGGACGTGTCATTGAACCTTACTTCGTTGAAGATGCTGCAGGTAATTCTCTTACTGTCCTTTCTGACTCCTTAAATCCAACAATTTAACCTGCAAAACATGTGGTTCCAGCAGGAGGAAGAGCAACTTGTCACACAGCTAGGGAAACAATGAATCTTTTGCGAACAATATCTCCGGGACGTTTAATTTCTCGATTTGGTGATGTCAACTGGCCACCAAGCTCATCGGATCTAACAGCTCCCGACTTTTTATGGGGATTTTTGAAACATAGGGTTTATGTCAACAAACGAAATACTGCAGAGCAGCTGTAGAACAATATTACTGAAGCGATTGAAAATATTCCTACCGAAACCTACCAAAAAGTGATGGAAAATGTAATCAGGAGGGCTTAGGTTTGCGCGGCTTCTAGAGGCGGACATTTTCATACATAATTTATAAGTTTCAACAAAAGATTAAGTTGAAAAAAATGGACGTTTATTATTTCATTTCACAAATATTCAAGATACAAACCAGTCAGTTACATATCGGCCAACCTGTATAAAAGTGATGCCGGTAGTTTTAGTCTGACCCACTAAAAACCGTGAAATGAACTATATTAGTGATTAGCGCCTAGTATTTCCCTCAGGTGAATCAAGAGTTATACGGAGTTATTCAGGAAAACGTTGCATTATTACTAGAGAAGGAAGTACATTAAAAAATAACAATGTTTCTATAAACAGGATCTAAATTTCTCATTACCATCGTAAGTTCTGCTCCGCTGATGAGACTGATTCTCCTAATATATTACGTGCAATTTGTTTTCTACGTAGACATCTACAGATGCCTACCCTAGACATAATCTTTGTCACAAATCGGTAGAATCAACATCCGTTTAGATAATAATAGAGTATAAAGAGCTGTTTTGCAAATGTTTGTCAGACTATCCGACTTTTCGTAGGTAGTAAGTACCATTTTTACCTCCTACGCTAAATGTTACACTTTTTTCTAATTTTACTTACAACAAATGAGATATTATGTTAAAACCATGTCGCTCGTTTCTGTCGGTCTGTCCGTTAATCCTTGGTCCCTCTATAACTTGCCAAGAACTGCTCTGATTTGGATGAAATATTTACTCAAGGTTACAACTATGCCAAGGACCAAAAAGCTGTATAATCTCTCATGTTTGTGTGGCCAATGAAATCACATATATTTGAAATTTTCCTTTAATGTAGTATACGTTTCTGTCACAATGTTGAACTTCTTCAGCACATGACACTTCTGGCAATAATTCATATATCAGTGAATCTAAGTTTGTCAAAAGTGTCATATACTGAAGAAGGTCACCGAAACGTTTACTACATTAAGAAGAAAACCACAAGCTAAATCTCAGATGTTATATTAAAAGCTTTATAGTTTCTGCAAATAGGTCCAGTGCCGGCGGAGCTGAGGGCAAAGAACGAAAAAGGTGAAATTCTCTTAAGCTTCGTTTTTTGACGTTTCTGAGACTCATTTTAAGTTCATAGAACCCAAATACGAGAAATAATACTTCGACACCTCAAGAGCACCGTGTTGTTTGGCATGTGAGGAAATGATACGAACACAACAGGTTGGACTTGAGTTGGCGAACGATATATACTAAGTGACATATAAATCTGAACACCCAGTTTAAATGGTTTTATTTTAATAAAATTTTGTATAAGTACTTAATGAAGCATAATAAGTAAATGATAAAAATTTCAAAATGATTGCACTGCTTTAAAGCCCTTTGACCTTTAATAATGTGTGGATGCACCCTGATGTGCTACGCATTCTCCAACGCGCCTAGGCATGCTTCTGATCAGGTGGTCAATGTCTTCCTGTGGTATCTCATTCCAGGCAACCACCAACTCCTCTCGAAGTGCTTCTAGAGTCTGAGGAGGACGTTGCAAATTGAGCAATCTCCTACCCATCATATCCCACACGTGCTCAATTGGGGATAAGGCGGGAGATCTTGGTGGCCATGCTAACAATGTGACATCATTATGTTGAAAGAAGTCTATTGTGACTCTTGCAACATGTGGTCGGGCATTATCTTGTTGGAAAGTTGGATCTGCCAGGGTGTCAAGATAGGGTAAAAGATGGGGTTCTAAAACTTCGTGGACATAACGCTGCGCGTTCATGTTATCTCTGATGGAGATTAAAGGTGACCTGGAACCATAAGCTATAGCACCCCAAACCATAACTCCAACAGTGTGATGAATATGTCTTTCAACAAAAAACTGTGGATTCCTCCTTTCACCAAGTCGCCTTCTAACCCTGGCACGACCATCGTACATGCCTAAACAAAATCGAGACTCGTCACTAAAGACAATACTATTCCATTCCTGATCCCAGAGTGACCGTTGTCTGCACCACTCAAGGCGATTACGTCGGTGTTCTCGAGTTAAAGGGAGGACCCAGTGTGGCCGGTATGAAAACAAGCCAAAACTTCTCATTCGTCGGTAAACACTTCGCATGCCAATAGGTCTTCCGTGTTCTGCAAACCATTCATTTGCAATGGACCTGGTAGTGGAGAAACGGTCCCTTAAGCCCAATAATCTTAGGCGGCGATCTTCACGGTCTGTTGTTCTACGGCGGCGTCCAGTGCCCCTTGCTCTTTGCGTACGGCCTTCTCGAAGCCATGCCTGACAACACCTAACCACAGTGTCTACACTTCTTTGCACTCTAACTGCAATTGCCCGAAAAGAGAGTCCAGCTTCCCGAAGTCCCACTATACGGCCCCTATCAAACTCACTAAGTTGACGAAATCGTACAGGTCTCCGTACTCTAGGCATCGTAACCGATCGTAAAGCATGTCAAGAACCAAAATCCGCCAACGTTGATTCTTTACTGCGGCTGAAATATTCATTTTTAGAACGTTAGTGAATTAAAAAAATGCAGTATAAAAACCGGAATGTCCAACTGATAAGGCTGAACATTTTTTCACTTGTTATTTACAGTAAGATAAATACATTCACCAACTTTTATTAAAATAAAACCATTTAAACTGGGTGTTCGGATTTATATGTCACTTAGTATACTTTTTAAACGTAAAATATTGTTATTCCGAGAAAAAAAAGTTTCACAAAAATCATTTTATTTACAGTTATTTATTCACTCGTATTATATGTTGTTAGTTACACCTCGAATATCACCTAAGTGCTAAGCCTTGAACATATGAATGAATGATTATTTTCCAAACCGCAAATATTTTTACTTGCACTAATAGCTAGTGCAATTTAAATTGTAGCCTATTGACAGGAAATCACCGGTTTGAAACATGAGTCAACAACTGCATGTAACGCATTTTTACGAATCGGACAATGTGAAGTTGCAACCACAAATCTACACAGCGGAATCTTTAACATTGTAACAATTAGTTCTGCCGTTGAATCACTTCTGGTGTTTTATTCATAAGAACGATCTTATTAAGTTTAGTCTGCTATCGGTTGAAGGGTATACAATATAAATGAGAACATTTAATTTACTGTATGTAAATATTTTCTTTTTGATAATGAGTGACAAGCCCAGGAGAACATTGCGAAAGGCAGGATAGTTTTTTTCAGAGACAAATCCCGAACTAAGAAGGGTTCTTGTGCTGAGGCTTTCAGACCCATAACAAGACCCTCACTTCCGATTGATGGTTATGCTGCTGCACCTTAGGCAGAAAAGGCGAAAAAATCATACTAAGTACCAAAATTATATGGATTCTGCTGAACTAAATACTAAATTATAGTCCAGATGATTTTAACAGTCATTATAGGCTCAGTGGAGAAGCTGTTTTAGCATTTGGCAACACATGAGAGTTCGAATCCATGGATACGTTTTTATTTTTCATTTAAAGGATGAATTTATGAATGTTGCCATTTGACATAAAGCGCATAAATCAATAATGGAAACTAAGTTGAATCTAAAAACTTTATTATTGTGGTTTTTTCATATTTATTTGCCCATTTTTTGTATTTTGGCGAATAAATATTATTATTATTATTATATTCATGGGTTGACATTTGGAGCCGCGGGGACAGTTCGTGACATCATCATTTGACAGCTGCTCATCTATCGAGTAATGTAACAATTATATGCGCACGTGACCGCCTGTTGATTACAGAATTCTTCTTTTCACATACACAATTCAGTTTAGTGTGAATTGGTCTTTTACAGTGTTTATAAATTTTGCAGTGGTGGTTATTTGTCTCTGTAACTAAGTAGGTTTTAGTATTTAACTTGATTTTTATAGATCACAATTGAAAATAAGGTTCATATTTTTAGATTTTGTCTTTAATTATATTCAGATACAAGATATAAAATATTTGTGGAGTTTCAAACTTTTTGGAGGTTATGTGCAATATGGGCTGGTATTAAGTTTGTAATATGGGCTAGCCCATATTTGTAGCAATAATAGAAATCGAGAACTTTGTTTTAGAATGACACGCAGAAAAGTTATTGTAAGCCGCAAGTTCAGCGCCAAGAAACGGAAGACATGGGATGTAGACCATGTGAAAAGGGCTGTTCGAGCGGTAAGAGAAAAAACGATGGGAACTCTAAAGGCAGCTAAAACTTTTGGCGTTCCAAGGACTACAGTTCAGCGATTGGCCAAAATGGACCATCTTAGCGTAGAAGAGGCTGTTCAGATCAAATTAGGGCGAGGTACAGTTTTGACTCCAGAATTGGAAGAAGCATTAGTTCGCTATATCCTTGTAATGGAAGCAAAGTTTTATGGTTTAACCCGCAAAGACGTTAAACGTATAACGGCCTTTGTATCGTGTCAACTTTCACTCAGTCTACGTTTTCGGGGGTTCTAACAGTACGGTTTCGCACTGGCTGTTTTTTATCCATCACATTACCTGTTGTGTTGAATGCTTCCACCCATCTCAAAATGGTGTTACGGTCTGGTACTGTCCCACGACGTGGAACACGAAAGTGAACGCGAAACTCACGTTGCGTTCGAACGACAGACTCGCCATTTTGAAAGTACCGACGTACAGTGAACACACGATGCTCAACGTTCCAAACCATCTTGCCAACTGAAACGGCGCTTCTCCCACTATCCAACACGCCCTTCCCCACCGACACGGGACCAGCCCACTCGATGTAGTACCCATTCGAAAAACATGCGGTCCTTCTGACGGACCCTGTATAACGCTTGGAAGATTAATTAATTGTCCAGTTATAAGCGGATCAATGTACAAAACTGGCTAACTTTGACAGTCTACTAATCCCCCATTTTGAAAGACAGTGATTTTAGGATTAGAAAGTACTCATAAGGACCTTCAATTTGAGACATCAGATAACTCCACATTCCACATGAAAAATGTCCCAAGATGGCGCCCAGCCACCAACATGAAATTTTCAGTTGGTAGATATTATGTAAAGATATACGAGTAGTATTGTGTCAAATCACATTCTCCGGAATTTCAGCTTGCTAATTCGACCCGTGCAAAAATAAGAAGGGGTGACCATTTCTGAGAAGTACTGTACAAGCTTTTTCCCACAACTTTTCGTGTATAGACAAGATAATAATAATAATAAACGGACGTTTTGTTGTTAAGCGGTGGTGATTTCAGGAAACATATTACCTAAGTTACTAAATAAACCTCCCGTCAAGTTGTAAAATACCGATTCCAGCTTTACATGAAATATAAGTCCTTTCACAATTTTCAGCCTTTCGTTAAAGTTTCAGCATCTTTTAAATTTCGCGTCGACCGAACCTAAAGTTAGCGAGCTTGTTTAGAACTTCACCGATTTATATCTGAATCTGGAGCGCGCTGACCAATTTTCCGAACAAAATACATATTTCATTTTGCACCGATAACCTCGTGAACAACTATGTCGGCAGGCTTCCACGTGTTTATCATACTTTTAGCGGACAATTTATGTGAACAACCGGAATGCAGAACAGGTTTGAATTTATTTAGGGAAGATAAATTGGTAGAAACCGTTCAGGTTTGTACACTTTCGAAATACGATAGCACAAGTAACATTTATCATCACTATGTGAAATAAAAATACATCTTTGCTTCTTTTCTAGCACGTCGAGATTTATTTTGATTGAGGGCATGCATATTTTGACCTTTGTAACGATTTTATTATTATATTCACCATATTCTCATAATCTGTCATAGTTGTAGTCACCGTTCTTGGCGGGTCAAGGTAAGACTACCAGTATGCATTTTATATATCTCCATCTCCTTCATACATACACATGCAACCTACCCCTACGAGTGAACGTTTGTCCGGTAAGCTCAGAGACATACGTTTTTCAGTTGTGTGTCTCCGTCTCGAAAACTTTGTCTTTACGTATGAATGCTCTTCAATCTTATTGGTTAGAGTGACACTTACTTGGCATCGGCGTGCAATTCAAGTTGTCCTGTTACCAATCTTCAAAATAAAATTGTAGGTACAATGCCAGCAAATACGATCAATGGATAAGGCCGACAGAGCGTGCTAAATTTATTAAAGTGTTTCCAGGAAACGAATGAAAACAGCGGTCCTCTGTTACCCACTTCATGCGTACTGGAGAGAGTAGCAGATGCGTTGAAGATTAGTCTGTGCACTGTTCCGTCCATGGTACGGTGACTCGATCTGTTCACTATTTCATATGGCGTTGATGAGGTAACCGCCAACAATGGTGACTACAACTATAGCGTCCTGTGTCAACTTCCTATGAAAAGGTCAACAAAAATGCCCTGTTCGATCATTGTATCCGAAAGTTTTTGCCCAAATAATTTTTGCGTAAGAACAGAAATAGTTTTTAATATTTACCAACAATATTAAGTCGATTTTACCATAAGTAAATGGCTGAATTTCCAGCACCTAACTCACCTTTTTTGAATGTTTCAATTATTAGCAGGTGGTACTAATAGGAAAAATGAAAAAAGAATAAGATTCTTTTGTAGCTCAGTATACATTAAACATTAAACGAACCACCAAAACAAGAGCATAACTCTATTTGATTCTAATAAATGGTGAGTGTTCAAATTCTTAAATTTGGCGCGTTAGCCGGTTGGACAGTCACGTGGTGCGCGCTGCTGCAAAAATAAAAGACGGACAACAACGAGGAATTTACTAGCAGTAGTTTGGTCTTTCCGCCTAGGTAAATAAAAATCTTTAAATTGATTTCGGTACGTAGTGACGATTAACTGGAGACAATTCAAGTGTAAAATGGTGTGGTGGTGCAATCAATAATTCTGGCAGGCTTCAAGATTTCTTCCTTTAGCTTACTAGAATGTGATGCATTCTGCAGTAATAGTTATCCTCAACTTGTCAAAGCACAATTTTTAGTTCAGTCTTAAGTTCTACGTACATAGGTGTACGGATACAATATACGTATAAATTATTTGAGAAAGATTTTTTAGCTTATGCGTGGATAAAATGAGATTGTTCTTGATCCAGATAAATTACGATAGTCGAGTATATTTATTCGTATACCATTTATAATGTGAGGTATTACTTATTTGCGTTTGTATGAGGCTTATTAAAATATGATAATAACCAAGGGCGTACCCAAGATTCCAGTTAGAGGGTACTCCCGTTCAGCCTACCTCTAGTTTAAGTGCTAGGGGAAAGGCAGTCAGCAGCGCCCCCCCTCGTTCCCCAGCCCTAGATACTTTCTATCTACAGGGTGTAAACATTATGATAATCATTATTTAAATGGGTGATAGAGGGGGTTAAAAGAAACAAAAAGTTTCACATAACATGGGGTCAAAACGGCATTTTTTTAGAGAGAAGCGACTTTAAAGTAAAATAAATCTGTCAACGCCGCAAAACTATGCAAAAGGATAACTAACCACTGTTAAAGTTTGCGATCGATTGCCGGTTCGATAAGAGTGATGAGAGACCGACGCGTTGCTGTCATGTGTGTTTTAAATATTTAACTTAATGGAGCTTACTTACATACTGACTACAAATTTTGGCTTAACTTAGAAAAACTTAATGCCATTTATTTGTTAATTACTCAATTTAAAAACGTTGGAGATTAGATTATAAAAATGAGTAAGATTGTGGTGATTATGGTCGATATAAAGTACTTAAAGTTGTGAACTATAAAGCCATTTAGACAAAAATCTATTGACTTTTGGATCATGGGGTCATATGAACTTTTTGACTTGTTTTGACCCCCCTATTAGCCATTTCAATAATGACAACCATAACGTTTACACCCTGTATGTCAACAATACGATTGAATATGATGATGAGCTTTTGTCCAAATCACAGATATACGGGGATTATTGAAATTTTTCTTTTAGAAAAACTCAAAATGCTTTTTAGGTTAAAATATGCTCGTTACCCGTTATTATACGACATCTGTAAATTAAATGATGAGGTTGGTTTTTTAATTTTTTTTATTCAAATATAAATACAATTTTTTTATTGTTACCTTCAAAATAAGGTCTAAAGACACACAGCGCTGGAGACGGTTATTCTACTCCTCATAACAGTGCTCCTCCGATACTGGAATATCCTTCAGCTGGTCGGTTACAGCCGTTTGATTGTATTCAACTGTTTTGAAATGCGGCGATCTTTCAACTTCGGGAAGAGAAAAAAGTCACAAGGACACAAGTCAGGCAAATAAGAAGGCTGAGGAGCCACTGGAATGTTTTTACTGGTTAAAAACTCGTTTATTGACATTGCTTTGTGACAAGGAGCATTGATTTGATGAACGGTGGTGAGAGTCAAATTTAACCATTCCCCGATCATTCTGTCAACCGACGATCTTAACGCACAAGATCCCGGATTCTGTCGACATTTTCATCGGTTCTTGAAGATGGAGGCCTCCGCTTCGTTTTTCATCTTCAATCAATTCTATTCCTTCTGCAAATGCCGTAAACTACCGAAAAACCTGGGCTCTTGACAAAACACAATATCCGTAGGCCTGCTGAAGTTTAGCAAGAGTTTCCATTGCGCTGTGCCCAAGTTTGAAGAAAAACATCGTTGCTGGAAATTTATGTCATTCATTTATAGAACACAATAGGAACAACTGTTTCACGGACAACCAAATGACTCGAGCGAGTTAAAACTTGTACTGAAGGCGGATTGCATGTTCCTCTGTCTCCCCTCTAAGTCCGGCGCCTCCAGTGTTGCCAGATTGAACGTTATGTTGCCAGTCTCATAACTTAATTTACAGATCTCGAAAGCGAATGAAACTTGATACATCGGTACACTTGTCCTGTGACTGTATCTCTGATTCATGACTTTGAATTGATTAATATTATAGATTTCCATTTTCAATTATTAAAACTAGGTATGTAACAATTTTCAGCAACTTTTTATGTGTGTGAGAAAAGAACGATTCATACTGAAGTGACAACAGGTAACAAACAATCGCTATGGATCAACAACATCCATGGCAATGTGCGATATACAGCAACCGCACGAACTTATTTCGTTACCTGATAGTTACATCACTTGGAAGTTGACCCGACCAGCGATTGAAAAACTAGAGGATCGTGACGTTTTCCGGAAAAGTGTGTCAATTTATGACCAAATTAAGGGCGATGGGTTGTGTTTCACAAAACTCCAGGTTTCCTAAAACGTGTTTTGTCAAATAATTTATGCAACACTACACATTTTCTGTGACAGCGTGAAAAATCGCAGGAGTGTTTTCCCCTGAATAATGCTACTTGGGGTGCGGGTGAGTCAAAAATAGCTGAAGGGCGCCCGACCAGCGTTCATTTGTTTTATGATGCTAATCAAACTTAATTAAGCGGCAGCCGGGGGTTGCCTCTCTGGAATTCGAAGAGCCCTTACACCCTCTTCTTGACAAGTAGTGACATTTTTTATTTTTTTTTTTTTATATCGAAACAGCCGCGCAGACAGAAGCCTAAATGCCGGAACACCGCGGCTGCTATGATGATCCCAAAGAAATTTTGTTAATACGATTTTTGAACTGCCTAAGGTTAGTAGAACTGGGAAAAGCTTCCTCCCGTAGTTTGTTCCACAATCTAGACACCCTCGGGACAAAGGAGCGGTCGTATCGGCCAGTTCTGGATGTACGAAGTTTGAAACGGTTAGGATGGGACGCCGAAGTCAGGCGGGTCTGTCTGGCAGGCACATCGCGCGGCGGCATCATGGAAGAGAGCTCTGAGGAGCAAAGCCCGTTGGTGTAGCGATAGAAAAGAGCTAGATCGCCGACGGCCCGCCGGTGCGAAAGAGTCCCGAGACTGTCTGTTAGAGAAGAGTCATCGATCAGTCGGACCGCCCTCCTCTGGACAGCATCGAGCATGGACAATGTAGTCGGGGCGGCAGCACCCCAAATGTGTGAGCAATACTCGAGGCTAGGCCTTATCTGGGCCTTGTATAGAATGAGAAGGTCATGCGGAGAAAAGTACTTCTTAGCCCTAAACAAATAGCCTAGCTTTTTCCCAGCAGCTGCAGCTATTGAAGAGATGTGTTCGTGCCAGATCAGGTCCTCGGTGATCTGGACTCCGACCAGCCGAAATGAATGGCTCTTTGGTAGGACTCGACCGTCCATCGAAACTGTATGAGCGCTAGGACGCTTTTTGTTCGTCAAAGTACAGTACTGTGTTTTGGAAGCATTGAAATGTACAAGATTGTTGCGTCCCCAAGCAGTGATAGCCTCCAGGTCTCTTGTCAGAGAAGAAGTCGTCGCTAGTCTTCTTTTTTCCAGCTCAGCGGCAGAGATCGGCTCGTCACTCTGAATTCCTGCATGTAGAGGGCTGTCATCAGCGAAGCTGTGGATTGGGTTGATCGTGCAGGAAAGGAGGTCGTTGATATGTAAGAGAAACAGTGTTGGAGCCAAGACCGATCCCTGGGGAACACCCGCGTTGACGTTGTGGGATGAAGAGGAGAATCCGTCAATTACGACGGATATCTTGCGGCCAGCTTTTCTGGGAGGCCGTAGGATGGGAGTTTGCTCAAGAGGGCAGCGTGCCACAGCTGATCGAACGCTTTCGTGATGTCAAGAGCAACGACATGAGCCTCACCATGAGACTGGATGAGTTCACTCCACAGTTGCGTAACGTAAGCTAGGAGGTCCCCTGTGGATCGTTGGTGCCGGAAACCGTACTGCCTGTCGCTAATCAAGCTGTGACGTTCGAGGTAGTCCAGAAGCTCGCGATTTATGCACCTCTCCATCACTTTACTTATAACAGAAAGCAGAGCTACAGGCCTGTAGTTGTAAGGGTCGGTTTTAGATCCTTTTTTTGGGATGGGCTGTACATGAGCAAATTTCCAGTTTTCTGGGAAGGTGCCGGATTCATAAGATATCTGGAAGAGACGCGAAAGAACTGGAGCAAGCTCAGCTGCACATCTCTTCAGTACAATGGCAGGAATCAAGTCCGGACCAGAAGCTTTGTTGATGTCGAGCGACAAGAGCACTCGTCTTACGGTCTTATGCCTGAATGTTACCTCCCGCATAGTGTGGGGAACCCTTTGAATTGACGGCACTTGGGCGTTGGTGGGGACGTCCATGGTGGAGTTGGCAGCAAAGATCTTGGCTAGCACGTCCGCCTTGGCCTTTGAGTCGAATACAATAGTTCCATCCTGACACGTAAGTGGTGGAAGGCTACTGTGTGAGAAGTTCTTTTCAATCTGCTTGGCCAGCGTCCAGAAAGACCGACTGCCATTGCGCTGCGACATTACCCTGTGCCTAAC